ATTAACTGTGATATAGCCATCCATTGAGTTGGTGATTAACTTTTGACGTGCCATTAATTTATAATGGAAACTACCGTTTATGTTAATGTATTATGGATCCGAAGCAAGCTATGATGAAAATGATCCGATATTGATTGACCGATGTACAAATTTCCCACGTATCAATGTCACTGAGGAATTGGTTATGGAAAAAATCCACGATTTACCAAACAATTTGGTGTCTGGTCCCGACGGAATACCGAATATGTTCATCAAAAACTGCATTCACACATTGCTGAAGCCAATAACACACATATTGCGTGAATCGTTAAATTCTGGTTGTGTACCGAACACATGGAAACGCTCTTATGTAAGACCAGTGCACAAAAGTGGAGCTAAGTACAAAATTGAGAACTATCGTGGAGTAGCACTGCAATGCATAATACCTAAATTGTTGGATTCGATAATTGCAAATCATTTGAATTATCACATGAGGAACATCATCGATAGCAGCCAGCATGGTTTTGTCAAAGGAAAGTCAACAATAACGAACCTGGCCGAATTTACATCACATACACTGATCGGCATGCAACATGGAATCCAGACTGATGCAATATATCTCGACCTTGCTAAAGCGTTTGACTCGGTTGACGTGAAACTGCTCATACACAAGCTGAAAATTATGGGATTGAATGAGCAAATACTGGAATGGATAAAGTCATATCTAAGTGAACGTCAACAAATAGTAAGATTGAATGGAGCCATGTCTACTCCCATTGAAGTAACATCGGGAACAGGTCAGGGATACCCGATTGGAGCGACACTGTTTGTTCTGTTCATCATTGATCTTCCCCATTGCATAGTCAACTCCAACTTACAATCGTTTGCCGATGACACTCGCTTTTCAATGCAAATAAAGCAAGTCGATGATTGCCTAGCACTTCAAGCTGACCTGAATAGAGTCGTCAAGTACTTCAAACGTAACCGCATGAACTTGAATGTCAAAAAAACGAATTACGTATCATATCACCGTGGCGAGCTGAAATTTGACTTCAAGTACACTATTGAAGGCAAATCAATTGACAGGGTAAAAATAATAAAGGACCTTGGAGTCGTTTTGGATGAAAAAATGAACTTCGATGCTCATATTGAGTACATAACTGCTAGAGCCAAATCTAGACTTGCGTGGATTAAACGTTTTGGAAGAGAGTTCGATGACCCATGGACTATAAAGAGACTCTTCTTCACGTTCGTATTGCCAATCATTGAATATGGATCGCAAATATGGAACCCATACACCAATGAGAAAATCGCTAGAATCGAATCAGTCCAAAAACAATTTCTACTGTTTGCACTGAGAAAAATGAAATGGCCACACAGATTCATTTTGCCACAATACAACAATCGTCTGCTATTTCTACAAATGATTACCTTGGAAGAACGAAGAAAAATCGCACAAATTTGCTTCATACACAATGTTATCTGTGGCCAAACATCGTCGAAGCATATTATGGAGAAAATTAACTTAAGAACACCACGACTCCGAACACGGAACACCGAATTCCTAGAGCTGCCGACCAGAATCTACAACTACTCAATGTTTGAGCCAATTAACTACATGCTCATCACATATAATGAATTTTATAAATACTTTAATATCATAGAGCCAAATCAAACGAATGATTGTGATACTAGTACTATTCCAAAAATATATAAAACTTATTTAATTGATTTTAATGTTAGCACAAACACTGTCAAGCAAAGAATAACTGATTATTTTAGAAGAAATAGAACTTGGAGAGACTGAAAATACGAATTCATTATAAATATTGTAAATATATAACCAAATATTTATACCAAATAAACCACCTCTGGCGAAGAAACGCTGTATGGTGCAGAATAATAATAATAATATTTGCAAGTATTGTAATTTTTTTTCCTTATGTCTTTCGGTCTCCACTAAATTACAAATTCATAACTACCAAC